CGACACATGACTAAACATACATGAGACAAACCCTACATGTGTGGGGAGTGTGACCATAACCTAACTGTGCCTATGAGAAAACAAACAGGAGAAAATCCCTACAAGTGTGTTCAGTGTAACTATTCTTCTGCGCATAAGAGTTCTTTACAACGACACATACTAGTAGCTACGCATGGTGGTGTGAAACCCTAAATCTGTGACCAGTGCGACTACGCTGCTACACGGAATATCCATTGGTGCCGAAACATGGCTAAACACACTGGTAACAGGTCAGCTCAGAGCAGCAACCCTTCCATACATATGGGAAAGCATATGGGTGGAAAAAACCCTACAAGTGTGACCACTGCGGATATTCCACATCACGGAATGTAACTTTAGTTCGCCACCTAGCAAAGTACACTGTTGAAACGCCTTAAATGCAGGTTAAATGTATCCAAATGTATATATAGATAAGTTAGAATGCAGAAGTACACTTGCCTTATATGTTTATATAACAATTGTTTATGCAGAAACGTTACAATGAAGACGTTTTGTCCGTGTTTTAGTGGACAAAAATTCTCGATTTTGTACACTAAGTGGCTGATGTCAGCTTCTGTGCTGTGGCGAGTCTTGCGTGAGAATCAACGATAATGGTGATGATAAGAAAGTAACTTAATTGAAAATGACTTTTTTCCTGGTTACTAGTGAATTCTTTCATCAGTGGCAACTTTGGAAGGATAAGGATACTAACCTCCAAATTTTCGATGGCTTTCAGTCCATCTTATTCACGGAGTGGCCTAATCTCGCGAGAGCGCGAGACTAGGCCCGAGACTTGCATCGGTCTGCCGGGCCCCACCCGTATATACGTGACAAATGAATCTCTTCAACGACTTTTTGCCTGACTTGTTTTACACCATGTATCTATTGATGTAAACTTATGACTGGATCTGTTGTTCCCTTTAGATGATATAGTGATTAACATTGACAATGACATTGTTACCAGTATTACTTACTAATAGCTAATACTCCATATATACGTGTATACATCCTTGGTAGATAAATAGATAGATCGATAGGTAGATGGTTACTACAAGAAGGACAACTTTAGGGAAGAACTCGAACTTTTTTATCATTTATAAGTATGGTTAAAACTTTATTGTTTTTGCTAACATATATATATATCCTGTACGTAGAATGGCTTTATTCATACATATAGTAGTAGTAGTAGTAGTAGTAAGCCTTTATTTAAACTCGAAAGCTTGTTAGCTTAGTTAACTTCGTTAGATCTTTAGTTGTAGAAGACCGTACGAAAGTACCTGTACTTTTTGTTGAGCTAATAAAAAATCTCGTCAATATACATTGACAGTTATAATGAAGCCACAGTAGTTATTTACGCATAGGTCTTTACGATATCGCACGAAATAAAGCTGTTCAAACCACTTCCAACGGGTTGAATATACATGTATTTTCGTTAGGTCCCGTCATAAAATAAGATGATACACACACCAAAAAGCAGTTACTCAAGCAACTGGATATGAGGATCCACTAGCTTTCGTCAGTGAGTGAGAGACCAGAGGAGAATGGTAGGTTTATAGGCACAAACTATTGATTGATATGCAAATAAAGTGAAGACAAGTCACTGACGAAAGCTAGTGGACACTAGCTAAAGCGTCTGACGTTTTCAAAATCATATCCAGTTGCTTGAGTAACTGCTTTTTGGCGTATTGTATTACCTGGATGTCTAACCTTATTACAGTCTTGATTGTTACAGTGGTATTAAAACTGTAACATTGTTATAGTCTTGTTATAGTTGTTACAGTGATATTAAACTAAATAAAGAAAATGAGAAGAAAAAGAAAGAACTAACACACCAAACATCCTGTTACACTGGCACACAGTTAATAAATTACAGATGCGCATTAAACCACAACAGTTCTTTTTTATTGTAGAAACCACCAAAAAGTGCAAAAAATTAAGCATTCTTAACAGTCTCAATTACAGGCAGCAGATTTAACAGTGGTGACAAAATGTCATCTTTCATTGTTACAGTCTTGATTGTTAAAGTGGTATTACACTTTTACATTGTTACAGTCTTGATTGTTACAGTGGGGTTTAAGTGTTACATTGTTACAGCCCTGGTCGTTACAGTGGTGTTAAACTGTTACATGGTGTTGCCTATTTTTTTACCAAGTAAATGTGATATGATTCAGTCATCAGAAGAACAGTGCATACTTTGTCTAAATAAGTAATAATAAGTAATAAAACTGTGCATGTTATATTGGTACGTCGTCTACCTCTGTGACGGATCCAACTTTTCCAAAGATTTTTTGTCTTCCAAACATAATTAAAACCACGTGTTGCCAGTTCTTTACCAAATAATGTTCAATGATCCTGCCTTCAGAAGGACATTTTGTACCCGTACAATGTGTCGTTATGAATAACAATATTAAAAAAAGTAATGAAAAATATGAATATTGTATTGGCACAGCGTCTACTTCTACCACTAAATCACCATTTCTAAACTTGTTACTTTTAAAATATTCAAGAAAAGTTACATCTGAATGTTGCCCTCATTTTCATTAAGTAAACTTGATATGATTCTGCCATCAGAAGGGCATTCTGTGCCTTGACTAAATAAGTAAAAAGTAATACATGTAATAAGTAATAAAATTATGAATGTTATATTGGTACACCGTGTACTTCTGTGACAGAACCGCTATTTCTTAAGACTTGCTCAAGTTGTTGTCTCCCAAATTCACTCAATTCTGGTGTTGCCAATGTTTTACCAAGTACATTTTGTATGATTCTGCCACCAGAAGGACATTGTGTGCCTGTACATTGTATAGTAATAAGTAACAATAATAACAAAAGTAAAAACCAATAAAATATAAACCTTCTATTGGCACAGCGTCTACGTCTACCAAAGAATCACCATTCCTTAACCTGCTACCTTCCAAATATTCAGGAAAACTTACATCTGAATGATTCCCTCATTTTCATCAAGTAAACTTGACATGATTCTGCCATCAGAAGTTGACAATATTCCGTATGGAAACAAGCGTGACTACCATTGAACAGAACTGCTTCATTCCATTCAGTATTTCTACTGTGTAGATTAAACTTCTGGGAACATTTGGGGGGAAATGTTGATCTAAAACAATGCTGTAATTTCCGGTCTTAAGTTTTACTAGTTAGTTTGGCCAAGGTTGGACAGCGAGCCGCTGTACAGTAGTGGTGAGACTCCAGCCTGTCGCCTATGCACGTCCTGAAAAAAAGTTTAGAATTATCAGGGATGAGCTGTGGAATGATTTAGTTAATATGGTTTGTGATACCAGCAATGGTGGTTTGCCGCTCCTGATGGGTACTTAAGCCGCTCCATGTGATAACTGGATGGAAAAGATTTAGGAAATAATACGAATTCAAAAAAGCATATGAAGGCATATGAAGCATATGAAGGCATATGAAGCGAAACGAATAGTCACATCAGGTGAAAAACAAGTTTTGGAAAACATGCATTAAAATAGGCTAAATATTGATCATGCTGAAACCCATGACATACATACAACGCATGCAGTTAAAAGGCAAAATGCACCCCCTCCCTTAACACAGATACGGGTGCCCTGGATCAACTGTTTTTTTTTAAATAATGGTGGTGGCTAATACTAGATGGAAGGGTTTCAGCAAATAATGCGGATGCAAGGAGTACCTGGAGCAGCCTGGCATATGAAGCGAAACATATCGTGGCATTCTTCGTCGTTCCACTTGTCTTTCTCGTATTTAAGTCCGGAGTAAACGACGCAATCTTGGTTGCCCTCAAGGTTGTCCGGTCGTCCCTGTCCCCAGGAGCTGTACGGCCCAAGTACAGAACCGTCCACCCACTCAAACTTTCCCTCTATGCGCTGATCGTGCAGGCCGAACCAGAAGGCACAACTCTTGCACACGGAGTTGTACAGGGAGATGAGGAAGGCGTTGGTCTCAGCGTCTCGGGGCATGGCGAGGGTGCCGCCGTCTGCACGACAGGCCCCCGCCGCATCGCTGAAGGTCTTCCATGTGTTGAAGGCCTTGTAGCAGATTTCACGCCAGATTGTGTAACCTTTGGGGCAAGATACTGTAAAAGTAGGTTTATATTAGCAACATGTCATGGCAGATGGATCATATTGATATCATTATATACATGCGATAAATACCCCCGGGGATGAATTCCATATACGAATATCTAATATGTAGTACCCCCCCCCCANACACACACACTACTACA